ACACCACCACCACCTGAGGTACATGGTGAGGCCTTGGCCGGCGTAGCCCGTGGTGTAGGCCCCCGCCGGCACCTCGTGCTTGTGGTGCAGCTTCAGCGCGGCCTGCGCCGGCCCATGTCCTCGCACGCGTGCCTGCGCGGTGGCGCTGGCCATGGGCGTGGCCACCGCGCCGTCCAGCCAGACGCGGCAGACGGGGGCTACGGCCTCGGTGTCGCGGTAGGCCAGCAGGACCACGTGGATCAGGCGCCGGCCCTCGGGCGCCCGCGGGTAGGGGTGGCGGTGGCACACGATGCACCAGCGCCGTTTCCACTCGCGGCTCAGCCCGGCAAAGGTGGCAGTCTTGACGTACAGCCAGCCCTTGAAGGGCGAGCGCTGCTCCAGCAGGCGCAGCACGCTGACATTGCGGCGCGAGCAGGCCACGTCCATCGCGGTGTAGCCTGTGGGTATGACCAGTTTTGGTTTGTGTATGTGTGTGAGGGGGCGACGGGTGGCAGGGGGAGTGGCCGGGAGGGGTGGGTGGGAGGGAGGCATGCGAAGCCATCTTGTGTGGAAGGGGCATGACGGAGGGAGATAGATGGTGTCGGAAGAAAGAGCAGCGAAGGGGGGGGGGTTCAGGTCCCAGCACAGGTTCGTTGTGCTGGCAATGGAACGAATGGGGCGACAGCGTGCGGCCTGCGTGAACGATTGGCCACGACCATGACGCCACCTGCTCCTCTGCCACCCTTCCCAATACCTCGGGACCACCACCCAAAACCATGACACCCACCCTTGGCATTCTCGACGCAGGGGTTGGCCCCTGCCTGCAGCAGCACCTCCACCAAGCTGTCTTGCTTGCGGGACACGGCCTCGTGCAGTGCGCTGTTCCCATCCAGGCTGGGGCACACGATGTGCACATCGGCGCCTGCGGCAATCAACTGCGTGATGAAGGAGGTCGAAGGGGGGGGGGGGCTTGTCCTTTGATCGCAACACACGACCCCCGCTCATATATTATCGGTGAACACAGGCTCTTGATGTCAAGGCACATAAGAACTATCGCCACACGAGCCCGCCCAAGAACGCACCACTTCCGCGCACTGCAGATTTCCACGTTGCGTGGCCGCGATCAGGGGCGTGACTCCGGAGGCCAGTATAAAGTCCAGGTACTGTGCCTTATTGGCATTGTAATTGGGGTCGCGCTGCCGGATCTCTGCCAGCAGGGACTGGGGCGGTGGGGA